AGAGCAGTGTTCCTTATGCGAAACGTGTGTCTTTTAAAGCCGGCACAATTAGTCCCGGGTCAGACATGCATGCGTGTGAGGCAAAGAGACCAAGATTACCTTCCATGATAAATTACAGAACAGGCTGACCATTTGGGTCGGAGCACTCTCTGAGCCACACCTTAGCATGTTTGAGGTTGAATGCGTACAGCGATGTGAACTGTTCAAGTTGGTCGAGCAGTCTGTAACGAACGGGTTTATTGCTGCCGCAGAGAGTTTGCGCCTGAGTCTATCATTTTTCTACATGGTGCCATGCGCGAAGGCGGCCGGCCGGCTTGCAATAAGAGCGCTGGCAATCTATAAATAGTGATCGTGACCGGGCCCGGGGTGTACAACCGTTGACACATGATCGCATACACATGATGATTCAGTGCGTATACATACCATAGTACATGCATGTAGTACGCATGCCATGCGCAGCGCACATGCAGCGCTACATGATTGTTAGTTCCAGGCTTGCATATATGTGTCGTGCAATTCAACATATGTTGTCCACCTACACATATAGATCCGACGATCGACACATTCAGATTTTATGTTGCATATGGCCGCTAGCGCTGGCCATCACGGCCGCGGACGTTGGGTCAACCATCTGTGCATATGTAGACGATCAATCTATCCTACGTTCGTGTGTTGATATGTGGATTATAAAACCCAACGTTCCTTGCATGTGAAAGAGACATACTGAGCATGGCCAGAGACTCAGTCTGAGGGTCACTCCATGAGCTGTGATCAATTGGCACAACAGTTGAAGTGCAGTTCACACTGCAACATGGCCGGCGTGTTTTGAAACGTTTGATGTTGACCGACTCAGGTTGCCAAGGAGTTAGTAACAGACAACTCGCGGGCTATGCATGCAGAGGGTTGACTTGCGCAGTAAGAAGCTCAGACCTTTGCGACCTCCGGTTTTAGGGTAACTGTAAGGAAACCTTTTGAAAACTTCGCTCCACTAACTTTCCCGCGCATACCTGGCGGAAGGCTTATACTCCGGCGCTGGTCCCCCGCCTCAACCAGAAGCTCTGCACCTTTTTGGTATTGGCTCAACTTGATCTGCAATTGATGAATGCACGACCAACTCAGAAAAGGAAGGTGAATCATTCATTGTGGCAAAGTTCGATCGAACAGGTTGTGTGGTAGACAGACCGCCTTGAAAAGCAAGCGTTGTTTGAGAAGGCAAAGATGCATTAGCAGACCACCGCCAAACATCGTACCGTCAGACAATCTTGTCCACGAGACTGATAAGTCTGTCTCAACAAGTCTCTAGATTGCCAGACACAATCCTTCCTGTTTCCCAAAAGCGAGACAACACAGCCCAACAGCCAGATCTTGCAGGCATCTGCAAACTGACCCTCGGAAATTGAATCCAAATCAGAATCGTACAACTCCATGCTTAAACAACCGCCTCACCTCCGTTTTTTCAAACCCAGGAAGGAACAGTGCTACCGTCCCGGCTTGTTGGTCTATCCTCGGCGCCGGGGTACTCGAAGCTGCCGCCCTTACGATTCCCGCCACGTCCCCCCCAAGCCCGGAAACGTCTCCCACCGACTCGTCCGAAGCTGGCAAGGTCAGCGACTGGAGCGGCGAGAAGTCTTCCGGGGGGGTGGCTGCTGAGGCACCCCCAGGAGAGAACAGCAGCCCCCCCACAAAGATCCCGGCTTGCGCGGCGCAGCCCCAGAGGCGGCGCGCCGTGGCGAGGTCGGTCTTGGAGCCTTGCTTTGACACTAGGAACGCGGTAAACTCTGCAAGCAGGAAACGAGGGAGCGCACTGTGTCAATACTTGCTCAACAATGACCTTTTAAAGATAGGAGAGAATTTCGGAAGCGATTGTCACATGCAGGTCACCAAAAATGCAACCTATGAGAAGGTATACGATGGATGTCATCAGAGATCGAGTAGGCTTTCAACGTCAGCGGTGTGGTCAGCATACGAGAACCGCCGACCAGCGCACGGAAAGGCTTTGACCAACGCACGGAGAGGCTTTAGTCCTGCAAGCTTAACCCAAAGGCCCGAACGAACCTCCTTTCAGCGCACCAACAACCCGCAGCCGCAAGAAAGCAATTCATTCCCTTCGAGGAGCAGTGGCTCGTTGGTAAACACTCTCAAATGGAAGGCGATCGTCAACAAGTGAAACTGTGCCCATTAGCATCGCAGTCCAAACCAAACGCCCCGGAATTTTAGCTGCCAACTCACTGTCAGAGTTCATGAAGTACTGCGCAGCCCCGTCGAGCACCCTCTCAGTGGCGCTCCACACTCCGGCGGTCGAAGTGCTTTCGCCCCCACCGGAGGAGCCGCCGTTGAGCACGGTGTCAACGGCCCTCGCAGCGGACGGCAGCAGCACTCGTCCGGCGTCAGTCTTTTCGGCGAGGCGGCGGAAGCGGGAAAGGTACCACCTGACAGAACGACATAAGGTTCCGGTTATGCCTGCTTGCTCCAATGCACAATACGCTACTCTAATCATCTGAAAGATTGAACCGGTCGTTACGCCGTGCACGGGGATTGTATGTTTCATCCATCACTGACAGACGGGAAAGCCTTTCCTATTATGGTCTTTTTGCAGCATTGCACACATCCCTACGCGCAACAGTCCAAAACCACAGCTTTGGGAAGGTCCATACGACGAGGATCGTCTAGCTGGAAATGAAATGGTGTCGCTACTGGCGAACCCAACCGACATACGAGACACTCGGGTGGTCCAGTATTTTCTTACCTTGTAAGGATCAAACATCGTGAAGCTTCCCTCCAACCTTTTCCATCGCCCCACGCTGAGAGCTGTCCATGATGACAGTGTTCCCGAAATTCCATGCCCCGAACCAACGCTATAAAAGCAGTTTACGATGAAATCAGATTACGATATAAGCAGTTTACGAATGAAAGCCGATTCAAGGTCCCCCGCCCCAAAGCAAAACCTCACCTCGCCCTCTCCGCCGCCCCGAACAAGCGCAAAATGTCCTGGTTGCTCGGCCCGTCGTACACGATGACGTCATACTTGCCGGCGGCGTCCCACGTGGTCCCGGTCGGCTGCCGGTTCAGAATCCCGGTCACGTTCGTCAGCCGCTCTAGCGCACCAGCCGCCAAAAGAGTGTCCATACTAGGAAGTATGCTCAGCTCCTCTCCGACCACCTGTGTAAGAAGGTAGGATTTCTCAAACAAATGTTTACCTAGTTTCTTTGCTTAAAGCCTTTGGTGTAAATTGGTTGGTGGACAGACGTTTGACAATTCTGATAGCTCAGATGTGACACGCTCGGTGAAAAGACAACCAATTGTCAGTCGGCTTAGTAAACCAAGATGGTCCTGTTTCTCAGGGCGGTTTCTGGCACCTCGTAGCTGTGCTTCGAATTAGGAGGAGGTTTGGGCTTTCGCAGATGGACAGGACTCTCAATCTTAACGATCGACAGACTCGTCGCTTTATTCCAAGCATGACCTTTTGAATGCTCTGACCCTGCAACTCTGATTTGAGGCTATCACAAAATTAAACTCTTCAGGTATCCTTGAGAGGAGGCAAGAGGGTGTTGCCTGCGTATGGTTTTGATGCTCAACGCACATTTGGGAGGAATCCAACAAAATTTGAAGCTACCACCCATCTAAAGCTGACATGAGGGGGATGACGGAAGAAGTGTCAGGATTCATTTAAGTCCTAAACACTTCCCCTCACCTCTTGAAGGGCTCCGCTGCTAAACCCAAGTCGAGCATCCAACTTCTTCAGCTGCACTAAGGGCTCCAGGAGCATCTGCAATGGATGCCAAGGTCGTATTTTAACTCACGTTTACATGGTAGTAACAACCCCTCCAGAAGAAGAACCCAAAAAAATCGACAAATGGATTCCATGACAAAGTCCTTTTAGAACATTTTGAAAGTGACGTCTTTTTAAGCTCTTTCAGAATAACCAGCTGCTTCCAACTGAAAAACAAGAGATGACCTTGTTGATGCATTCTAGGACGTCGGATATCAATGCAAGGACATGTCCATGCGAACTCGGCATTAACAAAATGCTTGTACCTGCACACCGCCCCATGCCTTTGATGCGCACGGGCTATAAGAGAAGTGTCCGTTCAAAGGGTACCCTGAGACTTGAAAAACTGATTCACATACATGAGGCAGAAAACCATTCATACTTTCGCATAGGAGCCACAATCTCTTTGGCGCGCATAGATTATGAGGTACCCACAGGCGTTCACACACAAGAATCGCCTAAACGACCCGCCCCAAATGAGACACTGAACATGGTCAACCTCATCCTAGTTGCAAGCATACCTTCGTTGACTCAAGGCGCACCACGCTCAAAGCGCTGCCTGGCGTCTCTGGCTCAGGAGCGGTCGGGAGCTTGCGGCCCAGAAGAGCCTCCGCAACTCGGTCCTGCCCTTGCACGACCAGCACCGTCCTCTTGCCTTCCGCCGCGTACGCCTGCGTGCGATCAGAAACTAAAAGATGAGGAAACCTCAAAATTGATAAAAGGATTCATACTTCACAGGTAAAACTCGATTTTGGTGTACAGTCTTCTATCTTCATACAGTATGTAGAAGTCTGGTGAATAACTCGACGGATATAGTCAGAAGTGTTTACTGATGAACGCCCATGGCTTTATATCCTTGCCCACCCCTTCGCATGGGCATCTGGCTCACGGGCCTCTTAGATTGTGAAGCACTTTGATCACGAACTACATTCGAAGGGTTTATAATGTTGATTGGTTGTATCAAAGAAATTCCTTCACTACTTGTGCAGCAATTTTGACACAGACTCACACACCCACTACATTCGAAGGGTTTATAATGTTGATTGGTTGTATCAAAGAAATTCCTTCACTACTTGTGCAGCAATTTTGACACAGACTCACACACCCAAAGTGGCAAATTTGGTGCTCACTTTGGCCAGGAGCACTGCGGCCGTCGTCTTCCCCGACCCGCCCTTGCCTAGGAACGTAACCAGCCTGGCGCTGGCCTGTCCCCCCACTCCATTGCTTGCAGCGCAAACAACCCGTCCCCTTGAGTATCTTTGCTGCTGAGCTTTCCAGCCTTTTGGTGGAGCTGCTCTGACCTGTGTGTCCAACCCATCGATGTTGGGGCGACGTGACGCTGAAGATGTCAACTCGAGCCTCTGATCAGCATTGTTCCTGAAGGCTACAGCGCTGCGTGTGGCGAGCAAGAGGCTGCTCACTTTGCAAATGAAAGTTCCTGAGGCATAAGCACTTGGGGCATAAGCACTTGGGGCATGAGCGCCCCAACGGCCTGGCAGCACAGAAGCCTCTGCGAAGGGAACCCCAGCTCCCTTGCAATTGGCGCCCTTCCGCAGTGTTTTTGCGGTTGCAAGGGGGGTCGTTGCAACACTCATACCACACCCAGGGCATGCGCTCAGGGACTTTGCCATGCCTTGTGAGTGTCACAGAGTGAATTCAAACGGTGAAGAGGCAGGAAGTTTTATAGCAGTGATTCTACGAGGAAAAGGTCCCGCGCTCCACATGCAGAGTGCCTGAGCGTGCTCCAAGGCCTGCAACGGCCTGGAAACCTGCTCTTGTGTGCTCCACCAAGAACATGTGCCAACGCCAACTCACTTTGCGCACCTACAACCACTGCAAGCACACAGAGCAGCTTTCCGTCAGCGAGTTTCGGTTAGCCTGCACCGTAGCCAGGCCAGGGCAGTTCACCATAGAGCAGCCCGCGCGATCGAGAGGTCCGCAGGGCTCAGACTCAGAGCCGAGGTAGTCCAGGACGCAGCGCAGACTTGCACACCTTGTCTGGGGTAGGAGGATCCTAGATTCAGAGCCGGATTTTCAGGGATTTCCATACCTAAGAACATAGGACAGCCCCTCGGGGATGTATCGAATCAGTTTC